CCCAAGATGATGCCGATTCCGATGTGTTTCTGAGGTCTCGAGGTGGCTCCAACATCGCCTAAGATAACCCCATTCAAGAGGAGCCCAGAAGGGCTCCAGGAGGGCTCCGCAGATTTGGAGCCCAGGAGTGTCGAAGACACGAGCAAATTACTCAAATGAAGAGATGCCCAACGAGCAACTGCTCAACGACCGCGGGAGGGGGGGCGGGAAGGCCCCCCCCCCCCTGGGCACACGACAGGGGGATGGAGAGTCGAAAGCCTCCCCCCCGGCACTCGAGCCTCTCTCCTTCCCGCGCGCTGGGGGAAGCCCCCCCCCATCTCCCTCCCAGCATTCGCGCCTCTCTCCTTCCCGCGCGCTTGGGAGGGCCGCCCCCTGGCCCCACCCCCGCAGCACTCGAGCCTCTCTCTCTCTCTCTCTCTCTCTCTCTCCTTCCCACACTCGAGTTTCTCTCCTTCCCGCGAGCTGAACGGGGAGACCCCCCCCTTCCCGCGCGCCAGCGCCCCCGCCCACGTCCCCGGCACTCGAGTCTCTCTCGTTCCCGCGCGCTGGGGGGGGGGGGAGTGGCCCCCCCCGGCACTTGAATCTCTCTTTTTCCCGCGCCCTGAACAAGGGGAGGGCGGACCCTTCCCCCGACACTGGAGTCTCCACTCTGCACGTGGCAACGCCCGAGGGGCGAAACATACCGATTCTATCCTAGTCGCCACGTGGCCACGTGGCATCGCACTGCGGCGGAAGACACACTATTATATCATACTCGGCAACGCAGCGGACTCGAAGCAAAAGCCATTCCACTCTACTCGTCACGCCGCAACGCCTGGGCGGGCAAACAAATAATATTCCAATACGATCGCAAGTTGCCGCGCAGCGAGCCAGAAAAATAAAACGCCCTTCAACTCGGGCTTAGCGGAACGAAAATACTATTCCACTCGACTCGACTCGTCAAGTGTGGCCATGCCAGGGGGGGCGAAAGAAAGACCATACCACTTTACTCGGTATGTGGCAACGCCCGAAGGGCGGAACAAGGCGACACTATTCTAGCCGCCACGTCGGAGCACACACAATTATACTACACTCGCCAACACAGCTGGACTGAGAACATATAATTCTACTAAACTCGCCAAGTGGCAAGGCAACGGTCCGGAAAAAGTACAGTCCCACTCTACTCGTCACCCAGCAATGCCTGGGGGGCGAAGAACGTGTCATTCCATTAGGGTTACATTACACTCGCCACGTGGCAACACAGCGTAGCGGGAAAACCACCTACTCGTCGAGCGTGGCAGCGCCTGGAGAGCGAAAAAAAGTCTATGCCACTCTCCTCGCTATGTAGCAACACCCGAGCGGCGAATCACGAAAATGATAGTCTAGTCGACACGTACGGCAGGTTCGTGTCGTGCCGACCCCAGCGTTGGTTTCTGACACCGCGGGGATCGTTCAACCTTGAACGATCGGCCGTTTTCGAAACGTCCAATCGTTCCACATCGAACGATTCTGGGTCGCCCGCGGCGTTCAAAATTGAACGCCGGCGGCGGGGTCGCCGCCGGTCGACACGACACGAACCTACCGTAGGATAATATACAACTCTTTTGTACTCACCAGCGCAACAGGCCGGCAAACGTAACATGTCGTTCGAGCGCCAGGGGATGAGGCCCCTTTCAGCTCGGCGGAAGGGGAGAGACTCGAGAAGGGGGGGGGCGGGGGCAACGTGCGGGAAGGAGAGAGACTCGAGTGCTGGGAGGGGGGGGCCCCTTCGCCCCTTTTCCCCTGTCGTGTGCCTGCAGGGGGGACCTTCCTGGCGGTAACCCCCCCCTCGCGTCGTGTTCGTTGGGTATCGCTCGATCGAAAGTATCAGTCTGTCAGGACAAGCACTGTTTGGGGAATTGAGGACATGTTTGCCAGCGTGGACCCCGCAACAGTGAGTTTGTGAACTCTAGACGCGCAAGCTTCTTTGTGCAAGCTATGTGGTGCAGTGTCTGTGATGCATGCTGTGTGGTGGAAGCAGACCTCCCCAAGCAGTGCTTGCACTTAGGGGTTCTTAGTTTTGTCGAAGAGAACTGCGCCGGGGTGTTGATATGGCGGCATGTTCTCGCCGTCGCCACTCTGCCGTGGCCTCGTCGCCGCCCGTCGTCTGGGCCTGGGTGTTGGTCTGGCGGCTATGTTCTCGCCGTCGCCGCCTCGTCGCCGCTTGTTGCTTGGGCCTGGGTGCCGGTCTGGCGGCTAGGTTGCCGCGTCGCCGCCCTGTTGCCGCCTCATCGCCGCCTCGTTGCCGCCTGTCGTCTGGGCCTGCATTGCTTCGCATTGCTTTGCGTTGCTAAGCCGTGCTTTGCACTGTTGCATTGGACTGCTTTGCATTGCTACGCTGTACTTCGAATTGCGTTGCATCGCCTTGCAATGCATTGCCTCGCTTTGCATCGCTTTGCATTGCACTGCATCGCATTGCAATCACACTGCTTTACAATCGCATTTCATTGCATTGCTGTCAATACTTTGCATTGTTATGCTGTCTGGCGCTGCATGCCGTTGCTCTGCAGTGCTTTGCATTGCTTCGCATTTCTTTACACTGCTTAGCGTTAGTTTGCATTTCTTTGTGCTGGTTTGCATTGCAACGCGTTACTTTGCATTGCTAGCTTTGCGTTATTCTGCAGTGTTTTACATTGATGTGCATTGCTGTTTGCACTGCTTTGCGCTCATTTACACTGCTTTGCACTGGTTTGCACCATTGTGCACTGCTTACATTGCTTTGCCTTGTTTTTCACTGCTTTGCACTGGTTGCTTTGCATCGCACAGCTTTGCACTGGTTGCCTGCACCAAGCAGATTGCACCATGTCGGTTACATCACATAACATGCACACCACCTAGACTGCACAACCTATATTGCACCACAGATATTGCACCACATATATATATATATATATATAAACATGAACCATCTATTGAACCACGTATATTGCGCAACATACATGGCACAACATATATTGCACCAAATGTATTCTCCTTTTCTAAAAAGAGAATAGACTCTACCCCCCCCTGGACTTATCGGCTCCCCCTGGGATAGTATGATTTCACATTTTTCACATATATATATATATATATATATATATATATTCTGCACGCTCGTCCATCCTAAATATGAGATCATACCATCCCAGCTAGGCCAGTTCCCCCCCCTGGGGCTCCTTTATATGTTAAAAACACTATGCGGTGACATGTTTGGTTCTAACATAGCACTTTTTCACGAATCCTTTGCATAAACATGAGACGAAGTGCACACGCGCGCGTCGTCGCGCGCGCATGCCGAAATCCTTCAAAAACCTTCGGTGCGTGAAGGATTTCGCAATCGAGTTTCCAAAACACATACAAAAACACAAGGTTTCGCAACACAGACTTGCTAAAAAAGCTTCCGCGCAAGATCTTGCGAAATCTTAAGAAAACCATAGGTTTTCAAGATTTTCACAAGATGCTACCAAACGGGCTTCGCGCGCGCTCATGTCGAAATCTGTCGAACGCCCTTGCGCGTGTGCCGTCGCGAGAATCCCCTGCAAAAGATGGGACGAAGTGCAGACGCGCGCGTCGTCGCGCGCGTATGCCGAAAACCTTCAAAACCCATCGGTTTCGGAAGGATTCCAAAATCGTGTGTCCAAAAAACCTACAAAAACATAAGGTTTCGCAACGCGGATTTTCAACAAAAGCGTGCGCGCGCGCTCTTGCGTCGTCGTCGTCGTCGTCGCCGTCCTCCCTCCTCCCGCTTCGTTGTCGTCGTCGTCGTCGTCCTCTTTGGCGTCGTCGTCGCTTCCGTCGTCGTTGTCGCCGTGGTCGTCCTTCCTCCCTCGTCGTCTTGGTCGGCGTTTCGTCGTTGTCCCTCCTATCTCGTCGCCGTCGTCGTCGTCGTCGTCGTCGTCTTCACTCCTCCCTCGTCGTTGTCCTCCTCCCACGTCGTCGTCGTCCGCCGTCAAAGTGGTCGTCGTCGTCTTCCCTCCTCCCTCGTCGTTGTCGTCGTCGGCGTCGCCGTCTTTCCTCCTTCTTCGTCGTTCGCGTCGTCGCCTTCTTCCCTCCTCCATCGTCGTTGTCGTCGTTGTCGCCGTCGTCGTCCTTCCTCCTCTCTCGTCTTCGTTGGCGACGTCGTCGTCGTCGTCTTCGTCGTCGTCGTCGGCGTCGGCGTCGTCGTCTTCGTCGTCGACGTCGGCGGTGTCGTCGTAGTCGGTGTCGGCGGCGCCGTCGTCGTCGTTGTCGCTGTCGTCGTCGGTGTCGTGGCCAAGTGCCATGTGGTGCCTACCGTCACGGTCTTGTCTTAAGAGGTCTTGCGACCAAGTTGCGGGTGTGAGGGTGGGATGTTTGCACGAGAAGTAGAGAGGACAGCTTCAAGACGGTCAAAGTGGATTGCACCACATAGGTTGTACCACACATACTGCCCCACACATAGTATAGAACATAGATTTCACAACATAGACGGCACAGCACAAATGATACAATCTACACCACGCATCTTGCACCATGTATATAGATGATCGCAAACACATATTTCTAAAAGTACACTGTTGTTGGCCAACGCTGGCTACCATTCTCTATGTATATACACACGCCTACACATACATACATGTATATATATATATATGTATATATATGTATATATATGTATATGTATACATTTACATACATACACATATGGCGCAAGCTATGTAGTTGAAGCTACCTGGTGCAGGCATGTTTTGATGCGTGGCGCCCACGAGGCGCTCGCGGGCGGGCAACAGGCGAAACCTCTGCACACTCACCCAGCGCACGAGGCGCCCACGGGAGACCAGGGCGCCAGCACCAGGCGAAACCTCGGCACAACCACCCAGCGCACGCGCGCACGAGGCGCCCACGAGGTGCCCGCGGTCAGGCACCAGCCGCAAATCTGGCGCACCCGCCAAATACGTAGAACACAAATAAGAGCCTCTACGCGCAATGACTGTTGGATGTGCACCAAAGGGCGGAAGAAGAGGACAGGGTTCAGCCCGCCCGTCCTCATCGTCCACGGATGTCTGGGACGACATGTTCATTACGAGCGCGAGAATCTCAGCAGGGGCCGCCACGGCCGCGTTGATGCCGGCCTCGAGCTCGCCGAGAATGCCTTCGCAAGAGTCCATGCAGCACACGAGGTAGTGCGGCGTGGCCACGATGCAATTGGACGCGGCTCCGATGCCCGCCAGCCCACGTCGGGGGGTACTTGGCCGCGAAGCTCACTGCCAGACAGAACCCTGCAGTGCTGGATAACGACAGTTCGCATGCGCGTTTGGAAAAGTCCTCGCAGGCCACTCACCCATGAGACGACAGCGCGCCCAAGCTGTGGAGGCGGGCCCCCGAGAAAGCTCCTGGGCCACTGAACTTCGCGTTTTTCGTTTGCGCGAGGCGCGGCGCGCGGACACCTTCGCGTTTTTGCGCCGGCCTCCTGGAGGAGGGCAACTCCTCTGGACCAAAGTCAAATTCGAGTCGTAATCATCTTCGCTCTCCTGGCGCGCGACTTAAGTGGCTCGGCCTGGAGGGCACCGCCGCAAACCCAGACGTCCGACGTCGTGATTTTCTTCGTGACGTGAACCTTTCGGGGCTCTCGAACCCACCCCCTCAGGATCATTCGTTTCTTCGACCGCAGCTTGAAAAGCCACAGGCCTTGGAACAGGCCCAGGGTCTGGAAACCTCTCAGGTTCCATCCAGGCCCGTTTTCCGAGCCGCGCCCTGACGTGGTCACGAGCCCCCAGAAGCGAACCAAGGCCGAACCATCGATACGTCGAACGACTTCGATTTCTCCGCGGCGCCCATATCATGATAAGCATCACATACCTACTCAGTCATCAACATCATTGTGTTGTACCTCCATCATTGTCATCAACATCGCCATCACCATCATCGGAATCACCGTCATCATCACAATCACCGATACCACAATCGCCATCATGATCATCGTCATCATCACGATCATCATCATCAACATCATCATCATCATCATCATCAGCATCAGCATCAGCATCAGCATCAGCATCAGCATCAGCATCAGCATCAGCATCAGCATCAGCATCATCGTCATCGTCATCATCATCATCATCATCATCGTCATCGTCATCGTCATCGTCATCATCATCATCATCATCATCATCATCATCATCATCATCATCATCATCATCATCATCATTAGCATCATCATTAGCATCATCATTAGCATCATCATAAAAAATGAAAGTTTAGGTTCTAGCCTGGCCAATTCATATCGTATGGTGCCACCGGGAGCTGCCTGGCCATTTCTGGAGGCGCTTCGTGGAATGCCAGTGGAATGCGGTCAACTGAGGCGGTGGGGGCTCTCTGAAGGAGTCTCAGGAGATTGATTCGCCGAAGCTCCGATCGTCGCCCTCATGCGCATGCCGCGCTAGCAGGATAATGGAAGCTCCTCGACTCCCGCCGACAGAGCTCTCGCTCCCAGAGGATACAACAATTCCACTTTACATGTCAGCTGCTCGACTGTATTTACACTCCCCCAGGCCTGCGAGCCGCAGCCCCTGATCCAGGTCGAAGGGGCACGAGCAAGAACCGCAGCTGGCCGCGCCTGGCCGCCTTCGCGGGCGGGCGAGCGCAAGGCGAAAACGCTGTGCGGCCGGAGGAGGACGAGGGCAAAGAGACGGGCGAGGGCAGGAAAAGGCAGGCGGCCTGCGGCAGCCGCGGGAGCAAGCCCGCACCGCCCGCTCCTCAGCCCTTTAACGTTCGGCGTAAACGTGTAGCGAGCAGGGCGGCACAACTGGCACAGTGACTGCTGTGCTGCTTATGGCGCAAAAAAAAGCAGGGACAGACAGAAAGGAAAGCGAAGAAGAGTCCTTCCCACAATGCAAAGGTACTGTCATGCCCACCGGAGAAAATAAATCGCACCCCGATGGGTGATCGCGGCGGCCGACTGCAGCAAAGCGGAGGCACGCGACGAACAAGTAACGAATTGCGGCCCGCTAGTCAAGACACAAAACTAAGACGATACGAATATACCCCCAAATTCGCACCGGCCAAACCGGGAGGGGGGAAAGGGAAGGAGGACGAGGAGGGGGGGGGGGAAGAGGAGGAGGAGGAAAGCGGCAACGCCGCCAGGACCACTAAGCACTAGCGCGCACACCAGGCCCAAAGAAGGGAGGAGAGCAGCAGGCAGGCAGGCAAGCAAACAGGGGAAGCGGCAGGGCAGAACGGGGGGCACGAAACGCGCGGGGCGGGCGGGGGGAGGGAAGGAGGGGGTCGCTCAGTCGTCCGCGCTCCCACCAGGCCAGCAAGCCCGGACGTGGGCGGCCGCCCGTCGGCGCAGCGCCACTCTGGCCGCGCTCGCCAGGCGGCGGCGCCGCCGCGCCCCGTCCGAGCACCCCCTCCGCCTGGCAAGGCGGGTCGCGAGTGTGCGGAGGATGGGTGTCGTCCAGGGGTGGGACCACCAGCAGGCGGGCCAAACCGCGGGCTGGTACAGGATGTTCTGGCGGTCGAGAACGTCGCTGCACGGGGCGTAGTAGGCCATCTTGCGCTCGTGCATGTTGGAGACGCAGTCCCGGCCAGCGTTGCACGCGTCGGGGGAGGCGACCCCGATGTCGAGCGCCGTGAGCCCGTGCCCCAGCGCGCCCGCGAGCACGTCCGCGGGCTGCAGGCGCGTGCCCGGGACGAGGTGCTGCGCCTCGAGCTCGGTGGCAAGGTCGCAGGTTTTGGCAGCCTCGCACACATGTCGTGCAAGCGCGTGGTGGCCCTTCGTAGCCTCGGCTCTGCTGCAGCAGAGCGCGCGCGAGCCCGCGGAATCGAGCAGCTCCGCGCCGCAGAGGTCGCAGGGGGATGGGATCGCTGGGGCCAGCGGCGCCGAGACGCAGGCGCAGCCCTTCCACGAAGTCTTGCTGGTCGAGGAGCGGCCCCCTGTGCCGGCTAAGGGCCCAGAGCCACTCGCGGTTGGTGTCGGGGTGGCTGAGGTCCTCCAGGCGGCGCAGCGCCGGGTTGTCGCCAGCCTGCGCGTGGCGCTCGCGAAGCTCCAGGCGTGCCTACGTGTCGAGGCGAGCCAGTATGGCCCGTTGCAGGTGGGCGCGGCCGCGGGGGGCAGCAGCTGGGTGCTCGTCGTCCTCGTCCTCGTCGAGGGGGGCGATGCCGCCGCCCATGCGCTGCGGCCGCTTCGACTGGGGGCGCCGTTGTTTGCGGGTGCGCTGGCGTCGAAGAAGCTCGCCCATCGCCCCTCGCACTGGTCAGCCTCGTTCGCGAGGAAGTCCAGCAGCGGGCGTCCAGGGTTCGGAGGGAGGGGCCCCATCAGCGCGACCGCCGCCTCCTCAGCGCGCCGGTCGTAGGCCCCCATGACCGCGGCCGCGAAACACAGGCCGGTCAGGGCAAGGTGCTCGGCCATCTCGCGGACGCGCGGGCGGGAGCTGACACGGCCGGCGAGGGAAGCGGCCGCGGGGCGCGCGCTCCGCAGTGCGAAGGCCGAGGCCGCTCCAAGAGACCCCCGTGGCGGCGTGCCCCCGAGCGTCGTCTGGCAGGTCGCCGCCAACGATCGATGTTTTCTACAGCGGTGCGCAAGTCTCTGTCGAAGGCGGTGAGCCGGTCGCAGCAGATCATGTCTCCGTTGAGGCGCAGCTGGTAGGACAGCTTCGACGCGTCAGCGCACAGGCGGGGCAAGACGAGCTCGGTGGGGGCGTGGTCGACGGCGAGAAGAGCGAGGCGGGCGGCCCGGGCTTTCTCCACGACCGCTTTGACCTCGTCGTCTAGCGCCGCCGCGCTGCCGAAGGGGGCGCCAAGGGCGAGCGCGGGGCCATGTGTGTCGAGAACGTTGCAGGTGGCGCGCGCGTAGTCGGCGCCCCAGCCGACGTGGAGGTCGCGCTGCTCAGGCGGGCAGAGCAGGCGGCAAGAGCTTTTGACCGCGCCTTCGGCGACAGTGCCGCGGGTGCCCCCGAAGCGAGCGAGGCTGGCGTCCAGTGCCTTGAGCCAGAGGTCAGGGCAAAAACTGCTGCTCCGTCAGCCACGCCCGCTGAAGCTCGCCAAGACGCCCCCCAGCACTTCCGCGCAGTCGCCACTGATTCCCTCGCCGCGAGCCAGAACATCGAAGCCCTCGAACGCCTTCGCCACCCGTGGCAACGCGCGCCGCGCGGCCCCCGGGTAGTCGTCCAGCGCGCCTAGGTTGCCCACGTACATGCAGCGCCGCAGCTGGCGCGGCCCGCCACTCGGCGCGGGCGCGGGGGGGCGCCCGCGATCTCGCGGAGCCGCCAGCGCAGTCGGCGCCAGCGCCAGAGCCGCTCCCCCCCCGACCCGCTGGCAGAAGACCCCAGCGAAGCCCATAACAGCGCTAGCGCCGAAGGCGCGATCAGATCGCCCTTCTGCGCTAGCGCGCCGTCGACGCATCCCCCCGCGATCCCGACGTCCTCGGCCCGCGCCGAGGGCAGCCCAGGGCGCGCGCGCATGCGCTCTGCCTTGATCAGATTGCGGAAAACATCTGTCGCGTCGGCAACGCCCGCGAAGATCGGCGCCGGGTCGGCCCCCATCTCGCCCACCCCGCGACGCCCCGCAAGCCCTCGGCCCCGTTCCGCGCGAGCGCGCCCCAGCCTCGACGACCCCTCATCTTCGAGCCCGCGACGAAGTCCGAATGGCGGCGGCGGCTGCGACCCAGGCCGGGGTCGAAGCGCGCCGCGATCGGGCGCTTGTTCGCCAACCTCTGTCTATAATCCAATAGCGCAGCGCGCGTCTGCCCCGCCCCACCGCGCGCGCCGCCTGCGCGCGCAATTAACTCGGCCCCGAGAGAAGACGGCCATCCACCGCGCTAGGGGGGGCGACGCCGCATCGCGATGCAAGCGCCCTGCTGGCGGGCTCGATTTCGCGCGCGGCCCGACCGACGCAACTCGCGGAAAAGCGCCCCGCGGAATCAGGGCGGGTTCGTCGCCTGCGCCCTCTGCGCAGGCCCTCCGGCGCGGGCGGGCGCGGCCCCGCGCGCCTGCGCACCCTCGGCGCCCCCGGGAAAATGCGCGGGCAGTGCTGCGACGCCTCCAGCCGCGAGCGGTAGCGACGGTCGCGCGTTTGGCCGCAGCCGCGGCAGCCGTCGCGGCGGACGCCGCGTGAACTGCCTCCGCAGAGCCCCATGGCAGCCCCCCCATCCGTTCCCAGCCCGCCCCTGCCTGCCCCCGCCCCCGCCGGCGACCCCGCCCGCCGCGCCTGACGCCCGGCGGGCCCTGCTGCGACGGCCCTCCGACCGCTGGGCCCGCGACGACCGCGACGACCCCCCGCGCCCGCGACGACCCCCGACGACCCCCCGGCTGCCGCCGATGACCCGCGATGACCCCCACCGCTGCCGCCGACGCTCCCCGCCCGCCCCCGCCCCCCGCCCGCCCCCGGCGCGCGCGCTTGCCTGCTGCTGCTTTTGCCTCCCCCCTTATCCTTTTGTTCGTCGGCGTTTGCTCGCCGTGTTCCCCCTCTTCCCCATCCAGTCTTTTCCTCCGCCTCGAGGCTCCTCCGCGACCTCCTCCTCCCAATTTTCCTCCTCCTTCCTCTTTCTTATTGTTTCCTCTCTGCGCTGCAGCGCCGCCGCCCCGCGCGCGCCCGCCAGCGAAGGCGGCCGGGCGAGGGCGGCCAGGAACGGCCGGCAGAGGTTCGCTGGGGCCGCCGCGGGAGTTGGGGGCGGTAGCTGAAACAGCGGCGGCGGCGCCGCCGCTGCCGTTGCGGGCGCTCGGAGATCCCGAGCGACCTGGGCCATCTCCAGGAGCAGCACCGCCCAAACTGGCGCTGTGGGGCCGCCGCGGATTATTCGCCGGCGGGCCGAACTCTTGAGCAACTAAACCCTTTAAATGATATGGACGCAAGGATGGTGCATTCTTAGAAAACGACACAACTGTGGCACTGCTAGATGATGATCATCATCATCACCACCACCACCACCATCATCATCAGCAGCAGTATCATCATCCTCGTCGTCGTCATCATCATGATCAATCTCATCATCAGCAGCAGCATCAGCATCAGCATCAGCTTCAGCTTCAGCATCACCACAACCATCACCATCACCGTCACCATCACCATCACCATCACCATCACCATCACCATCACCATCATCATCATCATCATCATCATCATCATCATCATCATCATCAGCATCATCATCATCATCAGCATCATCATCATCATCAGCATCATCACCATCACCATCATCATCATCATCACCATCAGCATCAGCATCAGCATCATCATAACCATCACCATCACCATCACGATCACCATCACCATATCCTCATCCTCATCCTCATCCTCATCCTCATCCTCACCTTATCCTCACCTCATCGTCATCTGCAAGAGCATCGTCATCGTCATCGTCATCGTCAACATCAATGTCAACGTCAGGTTCATCATCATCGTCATCGTCAACGTCATGGTCGTAGTTATCGTCATTATCGTGTACAGCGCCATCATCGCAATGGCGCAGCCCTCCAAATAGTTCGGGATAATCACCTCCTTGCCGTGCCACCGGGAGGTCTCGTCAAGCGCCCCCAGCTCGCGCAAGTAGTCCTCGGACTCCGCGAACCGCCACTCCGCGCTCAACCTCTTGGAGTAGAAACGACTCAGAGGCACGCGGCCCGTGTGGTGTTTGTCCATGTCGATGAGTTTGTCCTCTGGGGTACGGACGCGCTTCCCCCACCCCTTCCTCCTCCTCCTCCTCCTCCTCCTCCTCCTCCTCCTCCTCCTCCTCCTCCTCCTCCAACTTCTCCTCCTCCCCCTCCTCTTCTTCCTACCTACCTACCTGCCTACCTGCATACTTACCGTCCTCTTCCTCCTCCCTTTTCCCCCTCCCTTTTCCGCCCTCCTCCTATTCCTCCTCGACGAGTAGCTCCTGCCACTGCGAGGGGCTGTGTCGCTTCATCGGGGCTCGCTTGGCAAGGAGTCGTTTCGCGGGATGTCGTTTCGCTGGGGTCCGCTACGACAAACCACGGTCAGTCTATGGGGCACCCATGCCGCTTGGCCTTTTGGAGGCCCGTCTGCGGGGCACCGAGGCCGTCGGAAGGCGGCCGAAAATGAGAAAATGATTCTGCGAAGGGGTCGAACTCTGGGTGCTCGTTCATGGCGATGAGATTGCCCTCCTTCTAGAGAAGCCCCATGACGGCGGCTCCAGCCCCAAGAGGGCCCCTTGAGGGTTCCGAAATGGTTCCGCCCCCTCTGTTTCCCTCTTCGAGCCCGCCCCCCCGGCCTGACAATTTGAATGTAAGTTTACACGCGGGCCGATTACGGCCGATCGACGAAGAGATTACCCCGCGGCCTAGTTGTTAAATCTAAACGATTGGCCCTCTGGAGTCCCAAGACTGCGTGAGCTTCCCCGTTCCTGCTCGTGCCGCTGTTGTGCTCTGTCTCCCTTTCGTCCCCAGGAAGTTCCCACGAGGCCCCAAAACTAATGACCTAAGAACCTCCCAAGATGTCTCCTCATCCTTCTCCTCATCCTCCTGTTTCCTCCCTCTCATCCTCCTCCCAAACGTGTTCCCCGAAAGGCTTCCACAACGGCTGGGGGAACGAATGGTCCAATAGCGTGGCCAAACCTTGCCCACACATTTCGCCACGTAGGCGTATCATAAAAGACGTGCTGAGCCGCAGCGTTTTTCGGCGAACGCCTGGATGCAACGTATCCCATGTATCCAATAGCTGTATAATTGCTACATGTTGTATAAGTTTACATTATTATGTCTACCCCCTAGCCCCCCTTGGAGTCGCGCCACTCCGCCGGACCAAAGTTTACCCCCCTTCTCGTGCTCTCAAAACCTGCACAAAAAACCAATAGGAAATCAACGATTTGGGCCTCTTGGGCCTCTTGGAAGCTTAAGACTACTGCAAATTTGCCCAGGATGGCCTCGGGGCTGGCCAAGACGCTCCAAAACTGCCCAAAATGGCCCATGCAGAGCTCATGAGGCCCTCAAGACGGCCCAAGGCCCAAGAGGGACCCTAAGAGCGCCCACAACAGCGCCCCCTGAGACCGAAAGCATTGATTTCCCTTTCTGGTTTTTTGTTATATTGTAGTGCTCTTGCCTGCTGACGACAAGCAGCGTCGAAAATTGCCACAAGCAATTCCAACAAACACCCACAAAAAGGCCTGAGACGGCCCTGGAGGGACCAAAGGCGGCCCCCAAGACGATCCAGGAGGCCCCCACGACGGCCGCGAGAAGCTCCCAAGACAGCCTCCGGAGGGCCCGACGAGCTTCAAACCCGCCAAGAAGGCTCCCAGACTGACCGACATGGCCCCACGAAGCCCCAAACACCCTCCGAGAAGCCCACCAAGACGGACCGACATGGTCCCACGAAGTCCCAAAGAATTCTCCGGAAAGCCCTCCAAGACGGACCGAAATGGCAACACGAAGGCCCAAAGAACCCTCCGAAAAGCTCCCCAGAGGCCGAGAGGTCCCAAGAAGCCGCACTGGGGCGCTCGACAACGCCCATGCGCATCGTGCGGGGCGATTCATCGAACATTTCCGCAATTTGGTCCTCCGTGCACGTGAAAAAGGACCAAACGAAGCGAGGTCGACAAAGGCACTGAAAGGAACTCGCACCACAAATCGGGACAAGAAGGGGCTGAGGCAACGTACAGAAACGACGGCAACGAGAAGGGACTCGAACAACAAAAAGGGGCTCGAACGACGAAATGGGACTCAGAAGGACCGAAACGACGAGAGGCCACCGAAACGCACACAATGGACGGAAACGACACAACAAGGAATGGACGAAACAACAACAAAAAAGGGACTGAAGAAAAGAACAGACACGGCAACAACGAATATGGATCCCAGCGACGAAAAGGAACGGCAACGACGAAAAGGAACTGAAAGGGACTGAATATCGAGGAAAAGGCACTCGAAAGCACCACGACGGCGACAAACACCATAGCAAGGACTGAGACGGCGTAAACCTACGGAAAGGGACTGGAACTACGAAAAGGGACCAAACGAAGCGAGGTCGACAAAGGCACTGAAGGGACTCGCACGAGAAATCTGAACGAAAAGGGACTGAAGCAACGAAAGGGGACGACGACAACGAGAACGGACTCGAACAACAAAAGTGGCTCGAACGACGAAAAGGGACTCAGAAAGACCGAAGCGACGAAAGGCAACATGAACGCACACAATGGACGAAAACGACTTAACGAAACTACAACAACAAAAAGGGACTGAAGCAAATAACACACGCGACAACAACGAAGAGGGATCCCAGCGACGACAAGGAACGGCATCGACGAAAAGGCACTGAAAGGGACCAGATGGAGGAAAAGGCACTCGAAAGCACTACGACGACGACAAAGACATAGCAGGGACTGCGAAGGCAAGCCTACGAAAAGGGACTGGAACTACGAAAAGGGACCAAACGAAGCGAGGTCAACAAAGGGACTGATAGGGACTGGCACGAAACATCGGGAAACATAAGGACTGAGACAGCTTAGAGGGACGACGACAACGAAAAGTGACTCGAACGACGAAACGAGACTCGAACGACGAAAAGGGAGACGAACCACGAAAAGTGACACAGAAGGACCGAGGCGACGAAAAGTCACCAGAACGAACTACAAGGACGAACCTGATATCACATTCACTGCCAAATACCACAACGTCAAAAAAGATCATTATAAACTGACCGGGACGATAACAACGAAAAGGGATTGAAACAACGCAGAACGAGGTTAACGACGAACGGGACTCAAAGGGACTGACCCGACGAAAAGGGACTAGAAAAGGCTACGCCGACGAATAGGACATAGCAGGGACTGCAGGAACATGCAACTACGAAAAAAGGAGGCTCACACAACGAAAAGGGACTAAGAGAAACGAGATCGACGACAAAACTGAAACGGACTCGCACGCCAAAACGGGAGACAAAGAAACTGAGGAAACGAACAGGGATGACGACATCGACCATGAACTCGAACGACGAAAAAGAGACTCGAGCGACGAAAAAGGACTCAGAGGAACCGAAGCGACGAAAAGCGAACAGAACAAACTACAAGAACGAAAATGATATTACAGGGGATGAATGGTACTACAAAGAAAAAGGGCCGAAGAAACAAAAAGGGACGACAACGACGAACAATGATTCATGTAACGTCAACGCCGAACAACCACTGGAAGGGACTGAATCGACGAAAAGGGGCTCGAGAGCATTGCAACGACAACCGGACATAGTACGGTCTGCGCAAACATACAACTACGAAAAAAGACTGGAACCACGAAAAGGAACCACGGGAAACGAGATCGACAAAAAAACTGAAAGGGACACTCACGACGAAGTGGGGCCCAGGATGGCCTCGGGGCCAGCCAAGACGGCCCCATGTTGGCCCCATGACGGCCCTCCAGGGCTTATGAGGCCCTCAAGGCGGCCCAAGAGGGCCCCCAGAGCGCCCTCAACGGCGCCTCCAGAGACCAAAATCATTGATTTCCCATTGTTTTTTGACTGAGTTTAGCGTTATCGCCTGCGCCGGTTCAAACAAAAAACGTGACGGCCAAAGCAGCAGCCAAAATTGCCGCAAGAAGGCCCAAGGAACCCCAAAAGGGGGTCCAAGACGGCCCTGGAGGAACCAAAAAGAAGGCCCCCAACACTGCCCAGGAGGCCCCCGAAGAAGCCCAGGAGGACACCAAAAACGCACCAACCAAGGCGGCCGCAAGAAGTCCCCAAGACGGCGTCCAGAGGGGTCAGACGGGCTCCAAGCCCGCCGAGGCCACCAAACGCCTGCGCTGACGCAGCGCACATTCATCGTGAATACTTGCACCAGTCACGAACTGGAAGGCGGTTCTGATTCAGAACGCGAAAGCTCACCAGAAGCTCCGAAAGCTGTAGCAGCTGCACGGATGGATGGCGGCTCCTTTTCAGAATGGGGCTCTCGCTTGAGGCTCAGTGGCCAGGCGTGCAAACTCGAGCAGCAGCTGTACGGATGGGGGGGGGCTCCTTTCCGAAGCCAAGCTCCCGCTGGACACTGGACACCCCGCTGAACTTGCAAATCACTTCCTTTTCCAAACAGGGCTCCCGCCTGAATAGCAGGCAAGGCCCCTGGGGTGCTCGTCGTTCGAGGAGGCTCGTCGTGTAATCAGCAGGAAGTTTTGCAGGGGACTAAGGACAAGGTGGCTTGGGACCGGAGGGTGCATTGCATCATCACTGATGCATCCTTGGTTTACTGTGGTCCTCCTCCTTCTCCCGCCATCCTGTCCTCCATGCTCCCTCATCCCGCCTCCTGCTCTTGATTCCCCGTCCCCGTCCTCATCCTCCCCTGCAATCCATCGACGGTCACGACGACGATCAGTCCCTCATGTCGGAGCACTCGTCGTCCCAGAACGACGCGAAGGATGAGGTGATCCGCCCCACAATCTCCTGCGCGTCGCTGAAGGAGTACCTGCTGCTTCGGCAGGACGGGGGGCCAGGGGGGGGGAAGGAGAGATCAAAGACAAAAGTCGGTGGTGCCTTTTTTGGCGCCCTGCTTGGGCCTCAAGGGCCTTCGGGTGCCTCCAAAGAGCACAACATTTTTCCAGAGCCAGCGAAGGGGGCGAGGAGGATGAGGAGCAGCACCAGCAGCAGGCCTGGCTGGCGCGCTCCCTCCCCGTGGGAGCGCTTGGCGTTCGGCGCGTCGCTCTCTGGGG